TTCTAGGTTGTTCAGAGAAGGAAACTTCATTCCTTCCCAGGCCAGCTACAGAGAAAAACAATCTTCTATTTCTGACACTACTTATTCATTGATTCCCCTCCAACTAACCAAGCCAGCTACTTAGTTTTGCTTTCAAAAAAAGTTACATTCTAACCCTGCTGTGTGGCTGCCTGAATCAAGATGCTGACTTCAACTGCTAAATGATGAGCACCAGTAGGCTCTACCACATACTGGCTAGACGTTCATGGAAACACCTTCACACGTTTTCCTACATTAGGAAAAACTTTGTCCAACACTCTGCTTTATCATGACACCTATAAAGAAACCTGACATCAGCTACACTAGCTATGCACCAAAAATCACACTGATCCACATGGTCTCATCTCTTTGTAGTCCATCAGTTTCCTCACATTATATTTCTAATTGGAGCCAACTCAGACAGATGTATTTGCATTATCCTACACGCAAACAATACTAATAAACAAAAACCCTAGATAACTCTCAACTAACAAGGCAGTTGCTAGTCAAAAATTTAAGCATTCCCCACCGCCCCCCCCCTCCGTTTCCTGCATTTTTAACAGCTCTAAACAAATAGCAGAAGGCTGTTGTAGTACTTGGGACTGCTTCAGAGTATGATCACAGGTAAATAAGGAGGTTGGTTCTCCATTACCAACTTAATTCCAGTCACTTTAAGAACTGTCATTGCATTCCCAGATAAAAATAACAAAGACTCACAAGTATCTGGCAAGATTTCTCCCCTCCTGAAGTGGGGTCTGCAGTTGGAGGTAGAGACTGAAAATAGTATTATGATATTAAAAAGAGAATTATTTCAGAAGCAGACATTAATCAAAAGCAATTAAGGGTGGAGTGGGGGGAAGCTTGTTGCAACACTGCAACTTTTAACAGCATCTCTCCTGTCCCAGCTATGAGCTCAGTTGTAGGACACATTTTATCCTTATTTTAACAGCCATATGGAACAGGGACTTGGGACAGGTGGAGGCCCTAATAGCAAGTACCACATATTTTCAGAAGGAATCTCCTTCCTGCTTCAACCTATCACATCCGAAGCCATCCTGTATAGTTGAAAGGTTCAAACTCCCATCACGGCTACATAAGCAAATGGCTCAGTTAATGGGCACAAGTGAGACACGATAGGTTTATTCCTAAAGCCAAAGGTTACCAAGGAAGACTAAGATGTGTGTAACACTTCTCTATCCATTGAGAGAATGAAGAAAGTCTACTACAGCAAGTAATCTCACTGTTCCCTGAAATCTGCTGTGTGCTTTTTAGGCAAGTAGTCTATCACCTGACTACTGGCAGTTAAAACTGCCGTTCTTTCTGAATCGGGTTCGCTTCTGGAATTTCCTTAGTTTTAAACAGACTACATGTAGGACTAATAAATATTGAAAAAAACAGAGTAACTACATTAAGAGTCACCGTACAAGAAATTCCCTACTTTCTCAATAATATAAGCACTGTTTCAAGTTTCAGAGAAATGCACTTCAGCTCTAAGGCCAATAACCCAAACACTTGGGAGCTCCTAAAAAGCACCATTTCCCAGCTCTAAAACAGATAATTTACTAGGTCTATTAAAGAAAAACTTCAACTTAGTAACACAACTAGATCCAAGCAGCATATAAAACAGAAGTAAAAAAGTCAGCTCTCTCCCTGAGCCAAAGCTGAACCATTAATTTGCAGTCTCTGCTGACCAGACCTGAGTATGCATTTCAAATTGCTTATTTAGCACAACAATTTCAATGAAAACCAGGTCTCTCCTAGCAGAACTGGAGCTGACCTCCACCTTGCTATACAGTATATGAAGCTGAATCCTGTCAACTTGAACTCCCAGCCAGTGATTTCATACCTATAGCTCATGAGTTCCTCTATCTGCAGGCATCTGTCTGTTCATTTATTTAAGTACATCTACAAACACACTTACACCAGATTTGAGCCTAAAGACTTCAAAGAATCATAGAATGGTTTGGGTTGGAAGAAACCTTAAAGATCACCTAGTTCCAACCCCCCTGCCATGGGCAGGGACACCTCCCACTAGACCAGGTTACTCAAAGCCCCATCCAGCCTGGTCCTGAACCCCTGCAGGGATGCGGCAGCCACAACCTCTCTGGGCAGCCTGTTCCAGTGTCTCACCACCCTCACCCTTCCCAATATCCAATCTAAATCTACTCTCTTTCAGTTTGAAACTGTTACCCCTCATTCTGTCACTACACTCCCTGATAAAGAGTCCCTGCCCATCTTTCCTGTAGGCCCCCTTTAGTGAAGCCATGTTGACTGTAACCAGTCACCTCCTTATTTTCCATGAGCCTTAGCACAGTTTCTTGCACTTTCCCTTCACTGCTTGCCTGTCTCCTACTCTTTTGTTGGTACCACTGTTTTTTTCGGTTTTGTTTTGGTTTGTGGTTTTTCGGGGGTTTTGGTTTTTTTTTAATTACCATAGCACAAGGCTACAGATCTTCCTGAAGCTCTACTCTTATTAGCGTCCTGCATTTGGCAACCTGGAAACAAGCTGCAAGGGTAGACTGGTAAGGCAAATGGTGTGTTTAGACTCCAGTAGACAGCCAGGACCGGAAGCAAGTGCCTTTCCCTGACTACACCCAAGTTAAACCACATCTGTCTCCCACAGCCAGGAAAGAGCATCTAGATTCAGTGCTGGAAAAAACTCCTATCGCCTTGCTGCCAGCCACTGAGTACTACTGCTAAGAGATACAATTCGCTCATTAAACGACAGCATGTGCTCAGGCTAGAAAGGTAACTCTTAGGGAAGACATGGCAACAGACAAGCTGGGTCTCTTGAACTTACTATCTCTGGTTAAATCTGCAAGCTCCTCATGAGCATGACTGATAGCACAGAATCACAATATTCACCAAAAAACTCAAAGCTGAGGAATAAAAAGTGAGAAGAAATACTAGCTCAAGAAAGCACTGTCTCACACACGGTTTTGAGCATACCAAGCTGACCTTTTATTGTTACTTAAGAACTTGAAGATGCATTGGTTGAAGACAACCTGTTTTACTTTGATTAGAATGGATCAGCAACATGCACAAAACCACATCTCAGATGAGGCAAGACAGTTCTGTACTGGCCCAAAATTGTATCGCCTGGTTCACACAGAAATTCAGTTGCCCCTTTTTCCTAACTTGTAATCATATTTGCATATTCAGAAATAACTCAAACTTGGTGAAATATCCACACATGAAAATAATAAAAAAATTTCTTGCCTACAAGTTCAATGTAGTATATTTCATAATTATTAACTATTCTTTATAGAAAATGATTCCTGCAAAAGCAAAACAGAGCTCCGACTTGAGAAGCCTTACTATATCTCTGATAAAAGGATTGAGGAGGAGGTGAAAAAGAGGAGAGGGAAAGGAGCAGAAGAGCAATATTGCAGATGAGGAAAAAATTAAGAAGAGTAGAAATATACTATATTGCTTAGAGAAGAGGACAAGATAACACAAAGGAGAGCCAGAAAAGGAAATGCACAGACCAATACAGGAAGCCATATACTGTGACCCATCATAGGAAAAAAACAGAAACAACTTGTGATACAGCCCCATGACACGGGCTGCAGCTACAACAGCCAGACAGGGTGGGATAGAACACATGAAGAAGAAACCAGAGTCTCTCCAAAATCCAGGACCTTCTCTTCAAATTTCACAGTGTGGGTAGTACTACGTGCCTAGCCATACCTCACAGGCAGACAACAAAATCATCTTGCTTAACACTGTACAGCTGCACAGAGGTCATAGTTTACATTAAACCCCCATTCTCTAGTCAAAACCCAAATACTACTTCCAATCTTTAGTGACATCTTTAACAATTAAGCAATATTAAAAAAAAAACAAACCATGTGAAAATAACTGTCCTTTAATCTGTTGTTCCCACTACAAATCCTACGATCTCTTTTGTTCAGTGGGGTACAGGGAGGGAGAGATGGAAGAAAAGCAGCAGGCGAAGGGAGAGCACATGTTCCCAATGCCCAGCACTACTCAGTTCATGTTTTCCTCTCTTTGTCAGCAACTCAATTTCTACAGGCAGTCACAGCCCAGTGACAGGCAACACCTGACTGAGTGCTACAAAAAGCACTGGCTTCACATGGACACTGGCTGTGCTATCCATTCATTTTCCACTTTCTCTGGAACCACAGTTCCCCTTCTAAGTAAGGAGGATGCACCATCTTGTAAAACAGAGCCTACACTATGGCTTGTCAGTAAATCTCATGTAACACAGCATATCTAAAGCACATATCAAAGCTCCTCAGTTGACAGCTCTTAATTGATAAAAAATTCCTGCCTATAACAGACAATTAAATAGCCAGCAAAAAGTCAGGTCTTCTTCCATTACTCCAAGAATCACTGTAACATCGTCAAAATTGATAAACACTAGTTTTTGAGCAGTTTGCAGGCAATGCTTCTTGCCCCTCCTAATAGCAACTATGTCCCTCCCACAGCCAGTTCTCTACACTGGGCCTGATAGCATCAGGGTCCCAACATGACACACTCATCACACTAAGGGGCGGGGGGGGAAGAAAACAAAAGAGAAAACCCAAGCAATTCTGCACAGCCCTCCTTAGCTGCAGGAGGCTTACTTTCCTCAATCCTTGCCCTGTTAAACTAATCGATAATTTTGTATAATACAAGAAACAGCTTCCTCCCCCTCTCAACCATTGTAAAATAGTAGATTACTATTTAGCCAAGGAAGCTGATTTAAGAAATATATTTCTTGAGGTATCTTTATTGTTATAAAACTCCTGAAAGTTTTGTATTCTGTATTACTACTATAATGGACATCTTTGTGTTAATCCTGTAGAAACATTCAACATATCAAAACAACTGAGTGCAGCAGAGCACAAATAGTGATCGAGCCACCTCTGTGACCTCCACACAGGTATTTTTTCAGCTCCAAAATTAACTTTTGCATACTAGGGAGAGAGACACAGGAAATACTGAGGTTACAAGTATGTGAACAGAAACTGACTCACCACAGTCCTTTGCTTGTTGGGCAGGAAGACTCTAACAATCGGCTTCTGTGGAGACTTAGGGTTATTCCGTGACATATCAGCAGGGTTTTGATAAACCGAAAGGGATGAAGGTGCTACAGAGAGGCTAGAGGAGGAAGATGACGCAACTGTGTCCGTTGAAGCCGAACTGGAAACAGAGAAATCTGTTCCATTCCCCATGGATTCCAATAACTGCTGTTCTCTCTGCTGTAGAGCATCTAGTTTGCTGGTGTACTCTTCATAGGCCTGTGAAGGAAGAGCAGCTGTTTTAATGATGTAGTAGCCTCAGACAAAACTAGAAATCTAAATTCAGAATGAACACGAAAGAAAACACATTCTAAACTAATTCATATTTCCCAGGAATATCAACAAAATCGTCTGGTCAATTTTTTTAGTAGGACACAAAGAAGAAATGGCTCTCAGTTAATTACGTTAAACCTTCTGAACTAGAAGGTTTAGACTGGATAAGTGGATAAAAAAAATCATAAGTCACAATTTCAAAGCATCTGCACTAAATAGTCTAATTCAGAACTACTTTAAAGAACACAGCAATCTTTAATAAATGTTGTCAGCTGCACTGCCAAATTACTGTACTACAGCTAAATTTATAATTCTGTTGGAATGACAGCTAAATACATCTAATGCAATAATTAAGAGAAAGCTGAAATCTGCCTTTTACCTTCTGTATCTGACAACTCACTTGGCTCATTGTTCAACATCATCTCTGGCACTACCATTTCATACTAGATAGTACAAAAAACTTTATTTCAATTAGAAAACAACCAAATTTGCCCTGTTACAAAGTCATCCATAAATGCGTAAAAGTGATCCTTTGAAAGAATTTTTTAACATCTGTAAGAGATTAATTTTATTTTCCATCAAGTTTATATAAAACCTTATTACACACAGACCAAGTTTCTTAAACAAAACAAACAAATTGAATAACATTAAATTTGTCCATTAAGTTTTTATTAAACGTAGCCAAGTTAAACATTACTGCCAAGCTCTATAATACAAATACACAATTGGTATACATTTTTGTTTAAAATTTGTTGTGATCAACTTTGCCTTTGTAACAAGAAAATTTTGATCTGTATCCAAGTATCAGAATTAGTACGAAGTACCTTCAAAGATCTGAATCGGTTGAGGAATGCGTGTTTCATGCTACATAAGCATGTCAGTGTTAACCAAGGATGCGTTAGACCCTTACAGACAATAAGAAAGAAAAGTCTTACAAACCCAACTTCTAAGCAGTAGGGAACAGAATTTTCTACTTAGCCCTCTGGCAAGACCAAGATCTATGCCAAGCTGCATAATTTTTCAACGCCACAGAGGGTATATTTATGTTAAGGAAAGATACTACTTTTTTTTAAAAGTTGCTTTCCTCAAGTTTTCTGTGCATAACATCTTGCTAATTAAAGTTATAGAAGAACTGAACTGACCAAAAAGTCTACAGGGTCTACATGTGGAAAAAAAGTATTAAAGTTAATAGAAAAAATAACCAGCATTCAGTAGTACTGTCACAAATACTACATTTTACCATTAATTTAGTTCTCTGGGTTGTATGTGCAGGTTCACCTAACCCAGGCTGGGTTTGTAGAGTGAACAGTGGTTGGCTACCCTCTTTTCATGAAGGTTTAGCATCCCCCAGGATGGACCTACGTTCAAAATTTGTGTCCTCATCCCCACAGTGTTAACACAGAGAACGGTAATTTGACCGTGAGGACTAAGAAATAAAAAGTGTTTTAAAGAATAGCGGTGAACATTAGAATTTCAAATTCTAAATTTTATGGGTTCCATTTTTAGTAAATGGACATAAGTTGCAGGAAACTGAGAATTACTTACTATTTCTTTTGAAAACTGAAGATGTCTAGCATTTCATGAACAGACCCCAAACTTGAAAACTTTAAACCAAAACATTTTCACTCTAGCCCAATTCTATTGTCAAATGTAAATTGAAAGGTTACTCAATTATAAATAATAGCATTTTTTTGTCTGTACAGTAACACAAGTGTCTCCTTCCTACTTCCAGGATCAACTTTTCATGTAAATTCCGGTAAAAGCTCCATGTGTCAAGAATTATTTTCAGTAAACAAAAATTAAGAATCATAAACTGTTACCATTTCACCAATACTTTTCTAAATACTTACTTCCTTTTCTCATGAACATTGCAAAATATTATTTGAACACACGCAACATTACATTGCTTCCGGATACTTGCAGGCCTAGCTCCTTCATAAAAATTACACACATCTTTCAAAATACTCGATCCTACAATGTTTACACTGGCAGCTTAATCTGTCACTAATGCAAACCCAAAGTCAAATGATTTATCTTAAGAGAATAAACAATGAGCATGGAAAGCTGGGAGCTGCTGCTGGCTTTGGGTTCTATAGCATTAAATTCTGCAATGAAAAGCTCTCTTTTTTATGGAGACAAAAGCTCTCAAGTATTATACTGTTAACTCAATGTCATAGCAGAAGATCCTGTAATAAAACATCAGGGAACTAGAAATGCATCAGTAGACTTTAAATACATTTCTCTCTTGAAAAAATAAATTCTTTTTATACAGAAGGAGCAACAGTACATGCAGCAGGAACAGAATAGCTCCAATCAAATCTCATTTTCACCAAGATTAAGTACTTTGGTGAGACATTGGTTTCAGCTGTTGACTAGCCCCCATAGTCCTTACACAGTCAAGAGCACCAAGTTAGAACATAGAAGTATCCCATGGAGTTACAGTGAAAGAGCTGACCAATGGCAAGTATTTCTAGCTGAAAGAAAGATTATGCTGCAGAGTTGGTCTATCTACAACAGAGACCTGCAGTAGCACAGCCATATTAGCAGACAAGCACCATCAGCTAAACAAACCTTCAAGTCAGTCATGGCCCTCTGGGTCAACTATTAGGTTGATTTCTGACCTTGTTTTTCAAAAATAAACTAAAAAATTAAAATTAAGTTTGTACAGTATCTTCATCATGAAGAAGATTAAGATGAACATCCAAGCAATTCATTAAATTAAGGATTTTACAGGCATTTCAGAAGGAGAAGTTTATGAAATCCAGAATGAAATCAATTCAGTTTACATATTCCCATTAATAAGTGAGTAATGTTTTACAAGAAAACTTAAAACTGCCTCTCAGGTTGACATAGAATCACAGGGGGAAAAAAAGAAAAAACAGAAGAGGTTGGAAGGTATCCCTGGAAGTCATCTAGTCCAAGCACTTGTTTAACACAGAGCTAATTTTTAAGTTCAATCAGGCTACTCAGGGCCTTGCCAAAGCAAGTTTTGAAAAGCCCTGAAGGATGAAGACTCCACAACCTTTGGCAACAAGTTCCAGGGCTCAAAAACCATTCTCATGATGAAGAATCTTCTCTTATGAAATTCACTCGGTGTGACGGTGCCTCTTCCCCTTTTGCATGTCTGAAAAGGATCTGTCCCTCTCTTTAGGTTGCAAGAGCCTGCAGGTTCCTTCTTGGCCTTCTCTTCTCCATGCTAAACACGACCCGCAATGCAGTCACACAAGTAGTGAGTAGATGGGTCCCTCTTCGTGCTGGCTACACCCTTGCTAACGCAGCCCAGCCTGCAGTTTTCTGCTGTTATGGTGACGATGGGTTACTGATAGCTCATTTTGTTGCTCACCAGCCCTTCCCAGTACTTTTCCTGCAGAGCTGCTACCCAGCTAGCCACCGGCCTGAACCCATGAGCACCCACCTTGTCCCAGGGACAAGATACCGCATTTATCTTTGTTGTTGTGCTACTTCTTGTCATGAGGCTTCTGTTCTTCCAACTCCTCCAGCTTGTTTATGAGTTGCCAAAAATAGTGTCTTTAATAATGTACATTGTCCTCAACAAATGTATTTGTTTGCTGTATCACTACTAGGCTCCTATTTTAGTGTGAATTTACACTATTTCACAAAGTTAGAGGAAAATATATATTTGAAAAGGAGATGCAGATTCAAACTAGCACATCTCGTCAACCTACACATGGCTATCTAAAATAGTTAATTTTGATTATATTGCATATCAGTGTAAATGCATATCATATCATAGTCTCATCCACATGAGAATACTCCTTAGGCTTCAGCTAAGCAAAAACGTATAAAGGCCTGGTAAGCTGCCCAGTCCATCTAAAGCATTAGAAGTTGGCATGTTTAAATACAGTGTATATACATACCATAACAGAACTGCTGCTCACTCAGGAACAGCAGAGTTAAAGGTACTTCTTAAATGTTGCAACCTACTGACAATATAAAAACTGACCTCAGCAGTCAACAGTATTTGTATGATGTTACACAGATGTGCCAAAAGGGTTCTGTTGACAAGATGAGGACATGCGATTTTCTCAAAAATATGTGTACTTTTTAATTACATATTATTTATACTATATTTGAAATTTGCTTTCTGGGGCCCTAACCAGGCTATACATTCTAGTAATAACATCTAAGGAAACAAAAAGCAACAATTTAACTATTTTTTTTAATTGATCTGGGACAAAAATCAAGTAGCAAAATACGGTTTCTCTTTCTCCTGCCCCCTACCACATCTGGTTAGAAACTCAGTCTAAACTCAAGTAGACCAACTGGTTTTACCATGCTCTCTCCCTTCCTCAATCAACTTTAGATAATATCCACACATGGCAAGACTCTCGAGAACCCAAACTACAGTTTCCTGGTCTTTGAAACTGAGATTGTGTTTCTATTTAAAAGTTGTCTGACCTTTTAGGCTGTTGATCAAATGCAAATCCCACTAAGTTAAATGGGAGCTGAAGATAGACAGCAACGTACGTCAGGATTTCTTCATTTAGTAAGACTCCTAAATCTGTACTTAGTCTAACTTTAGACACTCCAGTTTTGGTCCAACATATTTGATCAGCATCTGTTAGGAGCCTGGTAAAAATTAATCTGAATTTCCCCACAGATCTGCCATGTTTCCCAGTGCCTGCACCCAGAGTTGGCATTTTCCTGGAATACCACAAACAGTCTGAAATAACCTAAGATTCAGCACTAAGATCCATTTCAGACTGTGTCTGCCTGCTGTTCCAATAAGCATCCTTTAGATGAGCAAAGAGGTAATCTTCTTTAATTAATTAATTTGACCTCCTGCATGGATTCTTCAGATATACAGGAATAAGAAATTAAATACTCTCCTGATACTCAACAGCCAAACTCTCAAAAATGGCAACAGCAAGGCCTCTGAACAACGTATATTTAATAGCCCAGGAAAAGAGAAAGCTAAAAAAAAA